TATATTAAGAAATATATATATATACATATATACACAAATATATATATACACACACATTTCTACCTGATATAAATACAGCATAACCAAAATGGAGCTCATTGTCTTTGCCATCAAAGTCACCATTCTTCCAAACTATCCTATTTCTGTTATATGTATCACCCTTTTCCCAGTTAATTAATTTGGTAATTTGAGAATCCTCTTTGAATTTTTTCTTTCTCACCCTTCACATCAATCAATCGATCACTCAATCAACAATTATTTATTATGGCAACCATGTGCCAGGTATTCTTCTAGATCCTGGAGTTAGCAAGACAAACTGGCGTATAGACAAATAAGTAGATATTCTATATGCATATGTATATATGGTATACATATAATATACACACTATTTGTACCTTATATATACAATATATTAGTGTTGTACACATGTGTGTATACACATATATATTCTATTATATTAAAAGTAACTTTGGTTAGGCATAGCAGCTGGGGGGAAGTCAGAAAGGGCTTCATAAGGGGTATCAGTTTGGCACCTGTGTGAAGACTGAATTGGAGAGGAGAGAAATGGGAGGTAAGGAAACCAAACAGGGGACTATTGCAATCATATAGGTTCAAGATGACAAGGGCCTGAACTAGAGCAGTGGCTGGGTAAAGAGCAAAGGGGATGAATGCAAGAAATATTGTGGAAGTAGAATTAATTGGATATAGAATTTGAAGAAGAGCGGAGTTATGCTTGATTCTGAGATTGCAATCAGTTGTTAAGACCTATATTTTTTACTTCCATATTTTCTCCTCCATCTGCCCCCTTCCATCCAATGACACAGCCATTGCTCTAGTATAGGCTCTCACCACCACTATTACCCTGTACCATTTAACAACATTGTATTGCCTTCCCCAATCATTTTTCTCCTAAAGCATCCTTCACAGCTGTCAAATCATCTTCCAAAGGTACAGATCTGACCATGTTACTCCTCTGCTCCAAAACCTTTAGTGAATCTAGAATAATAATGATAATAATAATGATAAACATAAATTAACTCCTAATATTGGCATTTAAAGGACTCCATAATCTTCTATGTTTCCAGACTTATTCCATGTTACTTACCTTCATATACTATGTGATCTAACCATAAGGAATAAGGGACTATGGATCCCCTGTACCCCCATGTTATAGTATAATGTAACTTTAAAGGTTGAAACTGTTTAGTTTTTGCATCCTCAATATCTAGCATAATAGTTTCGTCTTAGCATGCATGTACTAATTTTTGTTGTTGAATTGAACTGCTTTGGTCAGAATCAGATCCAGAATAATTATTCTCCCCATCCTTTCCTCCAACAAATGAAGAATGAAGCTATCAGTTCAGCAAGGCAAGAATTTGTCATCTACTCTGCTTTTAGCAGAGAAGGAAGTCCAATAGAAGTCCAGGATGTTGACATCCACCATGATTACTGTACTCTGTCTCTGTACCATCTCTCTGATGAGAAGCATGGCAATCTACTGCCCTATTGCCCCAACTCACAATCCTTGTGATCCTGAGCTGTAGGCTGTCCAGGTCAAAACTCTCTTCTGGATTACCACCCACTGCTCCCTGGGTTCCAACCATGTCAGCACCATCCCTCTGGTGTCTCTGTCTCAACCTTTTCTACCCTTCCATTGTGCCCTTGGGAGCTTCCCCATTTGGGGAATTTGGCAACAAACTGTTCTTCATGTTAGATCTATACTGTCATCCTAGAAATTGTATGAATTTTATGTTTACTTGTATGTGTACATGTTGTCCCCATCTCTACAAAATGTAAGACTTCTTTCCTTCTGCCTTTATATCCTAACACATATGTGTGTGCTAGGCTATCTAGCACATAATAAACCCATAAATACTTTTTGAATTGAATTGCCTGGGAGAGAATTGAACTGACTTTCAAAACTTAAGATCTATTTTCTCTTTTTGGTTAGGTGTTCTGTAATATACTCCTACTACAATATTGCTTCTAATTCTTCCTCCATTTTCTTCCCTAAAATGTTTTCCATCATGTTTTAGTTCACCCCTGGTTCATGGACTTTCATATAAGAGTCTGTCTTCTGGATTTGCTGTACAATTCTCCTATTCTACTTTATTTAATTCATTCCCATGAATAACAAACAGTACATTCTTCTATTTCCATATCATAGTCACATATCACATTCCAACCCATTCTCAGTGATTCCCATCAGGTAAAAAGTGGCTGTACATGTGGTTTTATATGAAACTCACAGTAATTTTGTAAGATAGTATGTTAATTCTGCAAAATGATTAACAAAAAAAGATTCCCCGTGTGATAACAGAAAAAAACCTCTTTCTAATGCTAGTTGAGGAAGCTCATGTGGTACTGTTCACTGCCCATGAGGATAGGTCCAGATGCTATTATAGGTTATGATGTTTGCTTCCCAATTGGAGAGACTTCCCTTTTCACTCACAGATTTAGGCATTCAGTCTTTTTAGATAACAAATACCAAGCAGCTAGGGCCAACACCAAGATATGCTGCATTCAGCATAATGGGATCAGCCCTTTCCTTTCAACATCAATCGTTGCCCGGTTTATTTCTTTTCTTCTGGGATTTTTCAAAGTGAAGACCTTTAGCAGAAAAACAATTTAACAAGATAGACATTTAGTTCAATAGAAGAATTTTCTTGGTGTGAAAAATAAATTACAGAAAAGGACTTTGCTTCTGTGAGATAATTAATAAAAAGCTTCCCACGTGATGACAAATCTGACATCTTGTCTAATGTCTGGCAGAGAAGAAAGTGGCGAGAGTTGCATAGCGAGAATGAAACTGAACATTTCACAGCAAGACCAGGCCAGATCTGATCATTATTTCTAAGTGAGAAAAGGTCATCTTCTGTTTGTTAAATCAACATAACACTTGCCCTATATGTAGGAATATAGACCAATGCTGGCCTGATCTCTATTTAGATTTTGCTCATTTTAAGGAAAAGCAGTGTGGAAAATTCAAATTTCCTTCTTCTCTGGAGACACTTGACCTAAGACAATATTTATAGATATCTTTTTTCATTTTTTACAAAGTCTACTTTCAGGTTTTAATCTTTAAGGCCTGAGCATGCCCAAGGTTTGTTGACTGTCTCAGGGAGAGGCATAGAGGATAGAAAGCCTCAGGAAAACCTGAGTTTTATGTCTACCCCCTGTCACATATTGGCTGTGTGACCCTGAACAAGTTACCACTCCTTTGCCCTTGCTGCTTGCAACTAAGACTATATAAATTGCAAAGCAGGGACATTGGTAAGAGTTCCATATAGAAAAAAAGTCACTTATTGGGTTCAAAAGACCCCAAACAAATACAATTCAGTTTTTAACCTGATTCATTCACTTTTGGATGACAGTGACCACCCTGGATTTACACAAGAATAATTGTTTTTTTAATTCTGAAATGCAAGTTTTGTCCCAGAACATCAACTAGAATGGGTTTCTTCCTTCCAAGGCTCCAAAGAATCCCTAAAGTGAGTATTGGCCTGAGACTGTTTTTTTCCACTCTACCTACCTACAAAAAAGTCCCAAGGATTAGCTAGAGTTCACCCAGGTATCACTGTGGATAAATTTCAAATTGGTCATTAAGTTTTCTCCTTCGCTCTGCTTGGAGAAGTTGGAGAACAGAAGATGTGATTGATCTAATTGGCTTATAAGATTTAAGGGCAGAATTAACTAATTAGATGGGAAGATATGATGGGAAGCATGGAGTGATAGGGGCAGGACCTTGGACTACTTATCATTTAACTTGCTGAATTAGGATTGGTTATAGGTTTCTATTTGCTGGAAGACCAGTAAATTAATGCAAATTATTTTGCATGCTGCCTATATAAGATGTAGGTATATGAGGGATTTGGAACAGATATAGTCATAACATGTTATCACTGAATTGAAAAGTGTCCTGAGAGGACTATTTCAGACTATAGTTTCCTAAGAGGAGGTGTTGGCAGACCGTTATAATGTAGTCTCCCAGGAGGGAAGATATAATGTCACTGCTCTCCAATAGAGTCTCCTAGAAGGAGGAGATAGTGGTGGGTCTGATTCAGACTGTAACTTCCTACAAGGATGAGGTGGTGTGCTATCTGTAGTCTTCCGAGAATGTATCTACTATCCTAAAAGCAGAAAGCAGTGTTATATGCCCATTTCAGACTGGAATATCCTTGCTTCTATTATTTAAGTGAGGGAATATCAGAAAAAGGGGTCATTATTTTTGCTGTCTCTGCATTTTATCTGTATATGTACCTTCTCAATAGCAATACTACCTAGACCCAGCTCTGGACTTAGATTATTTGGAAATGGAGCTGAGTTCAAATTCCAGTTCTTCCATATACTATCTGTATAAACTTGGGAAATCACTTTATCTCTTTTGACTTGATCTGACAAATGAAGGGCTTGGGTTAGGTGATTCCCAAGGTCTCATTCTACTTGAAATCTTACATTCTTTCTATACTCAATAATTTTGAAAATATTAGTATTTAAAGCTGGGCCTTAGTTCTCCTACAGTAGCTATGCATTTCAGGGGATGTCCAACAGTGGGGATAGCTCTGCATGAGTTCCCTGTAGGAGCCACAAGCAATGAAATGGCCACACTCTTATTTCTTTCTTGCCAGCATAAAAGTGCTTCTTTGCTTGTGAGACAGTGAAGTACATTATGGGAGCTCAAGTATCCACAGAATTTTTTGGTTTACAGTCATATTTCAACAATGAAACTTTATGAAAAGAAATTGGTTAGGGTCTTAGCAAGTACAAAATTTTGCAGAGGAACCACCATACTTGTCACATCTGTTTGATATTGGTGCATTTTCCAAAACTCACTGCCAAAATAAGATGCCAGCAGCCTTGAGAGACATTACCACTCACCTCTTCCTTTTGGATATGAAATTAAAACCTAAAATTGTTGTGAAAATGCACAGCTCTGGGGGTAACTGCTGTGAGAAATGAATCAATGGGTGTTAAAATAGTCCTTCCCTTTGTTTCCTCAGGTGTTGCTGCTCACATTTGCAGAGGATTTGGAATGCATCCCTGGATTTCAGCAAAAGATATTTCGCATTGAACAGCCAGCTGAATTCATTGAAGACCAATTGATTCTAAACTGTAAGAAATGTCTAATGAAAAATCTGTTACATTCTGTCTGTACTCTTATCACATTTTGTCACTTTTTAGGGCCATGTTGGGCATGGATGCCCCATTAGAGAATAGCATTCTCTGGTGGGGGATGTCTATTTTGGAGAGAACAATTTGTTTTCTATGCATATTTTCTAATGCCAGGACTTGGCCTCCATGAAAGAATTTTGAGTTAGATCTTTGTCAGGATAGAAGGCAAGCAAAGTCAGTAATTGCCCTTATCATAGAAGCTTCATTCATTGGTCCCTTTTCTTGCATTTCATCCTCAGCTGACCTTTCCTGAAGCAGATACCACAGGGCAGGGAGTTGTTTTTTTCTATCTAAAGAATTACACTTTGTAAAGTAAATACAAATCATCTACCTGTGTTAAGATAGAGAGCTAAAGAGTGTAGCCTCTGCCTTCTCATTCATTAGAATGTTTACCTTTTTTCCTGACCTTGGCATTAATGACAGCATCAAAATATAGGTAAAAGAATGTTAGCTCATGTAAGTGTGGGATTTAAGAATACCAAATCCAAGTTTTTCCAGCTAATCAAGGGATATTTGGAGAGGTTCTGTTGCATATACTGTGCGGTTTTACTCTTTCTTAAAAACAAAAAGTATGTCTTTAGTATCTATGGCTACAGCCTCTTTCTAGTTACTACAATGTCATCATGATTTATCTGCATTAGGGCCACAGGACAGCAAAAAGCAGAAGTCTTGACCTGTATCACATCACAGTCACTAAAGATAAATTCGAGTTGAATAGAAGGCTCATGGACCCCATACTTAAAAGCTTTCAATGAAGAGCATGCACACTTGTGACTTAAACTTAAATATAGCCACCTTAAGGCTTTCCCAAGAAGAACAACTGCATATATGTTCAACTGATAATGACAAGCTTATCTGAGTTCCCTGTTTGCTTAATGTGAATAGTAAACTTGTTTCAAACACGGGTTGTTATTCAAGAATAGGATAGATAATACAGGTATATAATGGACACATAAGCTAAGATACAAAGATGTCCCCACAAATAAGGATATGGTGTGAACACATATACATACATGTTTATGGGTACATAAATATATTATACATTTATACGCATATATTTGTGTATATGTGTGTATGTGTGCACATATGTATTGTAGGTGTGTATAGAACCAAAGCAACCAAGGTTTGAGTAATGAACTATCTCTGTCTCTGTTTCTTTTTTTCTCTCCATATATACAGAAATATCTATATCTAACTCTTTATTTACATGTTATTTGCTTAGTCCTGGATATGTGATTTCATCTACATAGGGAATTCCTGGTATGGAAACTCCATCCAGCAATGCAAATTGGTAACTGTCCTCCAACTTTTAGTCTTAGAGACCCATATGGGGCAATAATAAACAACTTACCCAGAATTATTCAGACAGTATGTTCCAAGAGCAGTTCTTAAACAAAAATCTTCCTGAATACAAGGCCAAACTTTGCTCTGCTCTGCCAGCCTGATACTCACAATGAGTGATTTTGAAAATTAGAGGCAGTAATGGGAAAAATGTAGAACATACCTAATAACTAGATATCTGTGAATGATTATTATGATTTGGCCACTAGAGGAAATTTTTTTGGGTGGATAGGTCAAAAAGCTCTCATTGTCTTTTTGCTCATGCATTCATCAGAATCAATATTCCAAATGGCATCTGCTCATAGATAGCCATTCTGCTGACTGTTCTGGGTTTTCCAGCTATTATCCCAAATCCCATCTATGTTAACATGCTTTGAAATGTGAGGCCCACCATGAGTATGCAAATTAGGGGTGTTGATATGCAAAGCAGGTCCCTAACTGTGATTGCCTTTGTAATCTTCTCTACACCAAATAGCTTTTAATTCTCCACTGAGAAGCAGGAAACAATCCAACTTCAGGGGGGATCTTTTTAATTTAAACTAGACCATACTGTACATTCCAATATCAAAGTTTTTTTTTTCTCTAGTAATTAAGTGGGTTATGGTTGTTGTTTCTGTGTAGGCTACTTAACGCTAAATGGAACTGTGCTAATTATCAATGTAGCACATTCAGGGGAAGGAAGTGAGACATTTAAAATTGTATATTTGCATGTGTGTTGGGTCAGCAAAATGAGACTTGGCCCATTCAGCAAATCTAGAAATTACTTCAGAGAAACTGTACTTAGCACTGAGCCAAACACATGCATAGGCAAAGCTTCTTTGCCATTAGAACAAAAAAAAAAAAACAGGATGTATAGGGTGTGAGCTTTCTGCGGTGTGAATCATTGTTGATTTTTTCCAGTGCTGCTGGGCATATTTTCATGAGTCAAGAAATATTAGTGTGGACAGTGCCAATTAAGCTAATGTTGTGGGTAGACTAAGCCTGTACAGAATCAGAGAAAAACATGTCGGGTATATTCTAGCACAGAGAACTCCAGACATAGTTTGCTTTAAGATTGTAAGAGTTAGATAGTTAGATATTGGTGGCTCTCTTCTATCACTAACAATAACAGCAAAAGCCATAAGGAAATATATTGCTTCACAATTTATGGATATATATTTCTTTTCACTTTATTAGTCATATATATGTATATATATGTATACATATGTACATATACTATCATAATCTCTGAAATATGTGGTACTCAGAGAGAGTTATAAATAGTAGGGGCTCTTTTAAAATGGTGGCTGTGTACAAAGGACATCAAACATCTGGATGGAAACAGATCATAATCATGGAAGTAGACAGATAGTTTCCATAGATCTTGATGTTTCATATCATGTGGGGAAAAACATTAATCCTTTATATCAGTTTTTCTTCTAGTATTTTTTAAATACCTCCTATGTACCAGACACTGTTTCTGGCACTAGAGATTAAAAAATAATAATAAATAAATAAATGAATTAATGAATGAATAAATGAATGGTCCTTGATCTCAGGAAGCTTATGTTATATCTGGGGATGACGACATGTACATAGGAAAGTACATATGTATATATGTGTATATATATATGTATATATGTGTGTGTGTATATATATATATGTATATATGTGTATATATATATATGTATATATAACCTATGCTGTATAAATAAAAGCAAGGTAATTTTTTTAAGATGGGGAAGGAATTGTGGAATCATAGAGAAACTCTCTATGAATGGGAAAGTATTGGATCAAATATCTTAATAGAATTGGTGTCTGTGTTTTATCCTGTGTCATGCTCCTAAACATGGTCATATCCTTTCCTGTGTCTGTTAGGTCCTATGACAATAACTTAGAACCATGGAATCCTAAAGTCTGGGAAAGTTTCGTGGTGTGCGGAATAAAAAGGAACATAACAATAGGCCAGCTGGCATCTCTTTTCCTACAAGTTTTCTACTGCAGTTAGAAAGTATAACCTCTTATCTTGATTAAAATAGTAAAATATGACCTTGTGCCCCCAGTTTGACTTTCATATACTTCCTTGTTCAAATTTGAGGGGAATGCAGCCATTTGCTTCCCATTGCTTCCCACTGTCTGTGTTCACAGGCAGTAATAGTTCTCTTTTATCATTTTTCATCTTCCTCCTCAATTCTTATTGACTCATCTTTTCTACTTGAACTGTTACAGACAATCCCCTCCATTTTTTAATTTATCTAATATTATATTCAATGCTCACTTCTATGCATCTTTTCTTTAGTTCCATCTAAAAAACCTTTTATTTTCCTTCACATCCAAATAACTTTTTATGCTATTCTTCTTGCTATGAGCAGCACTTGATTTAGTCTTTAAAAGGCCATTTTTCCAACAAGGTATCAGAATTAAAATGTGGCATCAAACTTTGCTTCTGATATATCCAAGGGAACTCTTTCATTACACCTTTAGTAGTTGTTTTAGGGTCCCAGCTGTTCTGTAACTCGAGAAAAACTTTCTATCTCCATAAGGAAAGTGAATTGAAGAATTTCAGTTGTTGCTGTTTTCACTTTCACATTGGAAAGGATATTAAATAAAATAAAATGATGATCTGAGTTAGGACTACGGGAAAGGGTAATCAGACACTCGTCTGGGGCCTGATGGTTAGTTATTTTGGTAAAATTTAGAGAAGATACAGTTTACAGTGACCTGTTGCCTCCTATACTCCATCTAATGGCTTAGTAACATGGCAAATTACAGAGCCAGCCCAGTGGAGATTGTCTGATTGTCATGACAACAGTCTCTCATGCAGTGATTCAGTCATCTCTGTGGTATTCTCTCCCCAGCACATTGCTGGCACATAGTTGGTGCTTAATAAATGACTATTAACCAATTGGTACCTATGCCTTCAATCACTGGTCTGTTCAACTTCTGTCTACCCTTCTAGACAATGAGTCATTTTTCCCATTGAAGAAACCAACAAGTTGATTGAATTATTGATTTCTAAGTTACTCATTTTGTTCTTGGCTTTATTTTTGATTTTTAAAAGAGTTTGTTCATTCTCTTTTTTTTTCACGTGAAGTATGTATAGTTTTGAAAGTCCATCATTTAATGTCCATCATTCACAGTCCTATCAAGGAAAAAGGACCTCTATGTGGCAAGAAAAGGAGGATTATTGGAATTAGTTTGAGTACTAATGGAAGAGAGATTCATATGAGTTGCAGCTGTCTTAGGATAGCAAGGGACTCATATTCCTGTTCATTTTCAGGAAGTGAGTCCTTTGGCTTTTGACATGTGCTGCTTTGGACATGGGCCATTGAAAGAAGTAAAGAAAGAATATTCCCACTGTGGGGTTCACTCTCATTCTATTTATAGCCCAGTTCATTTTTGCTTTGTAGTTTAGAGTAACATCTTTTCATTATTGAATTGAGACCCTGCCAGATTATCTTTGACCTTCCATTACTCCCTTTCAGTAATTCCCTTGCATGATCTTTCAGTAGGCCCTATGAGTGATCCTGGCTTCCATGGGGACACTCTTCAGCTCTGTCACCATGACACCACCCCCACCACAGTTAGGTCATATGTGACCATTCAATTAATCACATTAA